AAACATAGTAACTGAGGTGCTGAACAAGAGCATTTGTCACAGCCGCCGCGATCAAAACAGCACGTCCTACCGCCTCGTTTCTTCTCTCGCTGGACCTTTTGCTTGGGTACATCCAGTTTGAGGCCCCAAGCATGGCCACAGATGCACGTGAAAGACTGGAAGGAGAACTGGCTCACGGCCAACGAGCCGCACAGGAAAGCGGGACGACAACGGAGTACCACGAGGAGCGTCAGAATTGTGGGCTAACGACATTCCATCACAGCAACCCTCGTGGCGTCAGAGACAAGTTACCGCGCTGGTTCTTTCCTTTTTCTGCTGTCGTTCCCGAGAGCCGCCGCTCTCCATCCATTGGCCATCACCTCAGCATCTTGACCGCTCAGAGCCTAAAACTAATATTCCCAACAACTCGAGGGTCTACCAATGGTGTCGTTTTGAATCCGACCTGCTATCTTGACTGGACTGAAGTTCCCACGAGACTGGCTTACATTATCCGTAAAGTAAGCTACGAATCTGGCCCGGCGCACCCCACCGCGCTTTGCCATGCAGGGAACAGGCCTGTCAATGGCTGACGGCCGACGGCGGCCGCTGCCGAGCACACTTTAGCTGTGACGGTGTGGTCGGCTGCTACACTATCCGTACGGCCAAACGTTTTCCACGGACAACTTCGACACTGTTGAGCTAGCTCTCTCTCTCTCTCTCTCTCTCTCTCTCCGGACGGATAGTTACCCGAAGCCGGTCGACACGACATGCTTCCGTGAGCACCACGCTGGTTTTTCGGATGTAATCCTGTATCACACTTACCACAAGTAAAACCTCTCGCAATATTGCACCTACACACTTCATTGTGGGAACTCCATGTCAGGAAGTGCCAAACGCCCCGCGGGAGATGGCCGATCCCGGTGCTGCTCAGCTTTCGCAATGCCCATACGAAGTATAACGACTTGGCCACCTCCACGTAGCAAACGTTGGGATATCCGAATCCAGACTCGTCAAACAAAAGCAAGATAACTAAATCATACTGACAGCAAAATCGGAGTGGAAACCATGAGTCGAGTTCACTAGCAATTGCTGATGCCCCTGGCCACTAGGACCGAGAGATCCGTCTGGGCACTGTGTATCTGCCCGGTTTCCAAGATTCCCGTGTCAGAAAATGGAGGCCGTGATATCGAATTTTTCCTGTTCCATGGCAAATCATCCCCACCTACTCCATGATGGTGCAGGGAGACGACATCTCACGCTGTCGATCACTTACCTCACCACATCGCCCGACTGCACATCCCGCTCACGGCCCGCTTGTCGGAACGGTCGAAATGAGAGACTATCCCGTAGCTCCGACGGTGTGCTTCGGCCCCGACCAACAACATGTGTCTTAAACTAGGTAGACCTTGCAGGAGACGTTGCCGAGAAGATCCCGTCTTTTGTCAAGCTGTCAAGACACGCGGGACAAATACCAGCTGTACATTTGAACAAATCGCCGGGCTCAACATGTGCGAATGGCACCCAGCAGCAATGCTAGAAGGGCGGGTTGGGGCATTGCTGCGGGTAATCGATTTGGAGGCAACCTCGCGACAAAATTGACCCTGCAAGCAATGCCCAGTTTCGGGCGCTGAGGGCTGATGCTCTCACGGAAGCCAACTCAACATTCATCGCAAAGAGGCAATGGAGGGTACTTTGTTGCGCGGAATTGAGCTTCGGACAAGGCGGACAAGCGGCGCAGCCGATGCCTGCCAACGGCCACCTAGTAGTTGGGATCTGTGACACATCGGGATGAGTGGCTTTCGATTCGACAAACTAGCCAAACATGCTGACTAGTTTCACGGACATCCGTCAACAAGTACGTTGGTTCCAGATTATGAATAAACAATGCCAGACGACTACAAACTGTCAACTCACATTTCATGCGGCTAAGATTGGTTGGTGGAGCTTTCGGACGGCCTGTTCCGTACGCGACCTGGACTTGGAGAATGCGGTTTGCCTAGGGGAAAGCAAACTCGACAATGTCAAATCTGCAAAATCGGTCTTGTGGCAACGTGGAGCATGGGGACATCTGCATGCCCCGTTTCCTGACGGGCACAATCTTGAATCATGGGCACACGTCGAGGACTCGAGGGTCATTCCACATTCACCGAAGCAATTTCAACATTTTCTGCTTCCGAAAATCTTTCACATCGAAGAATAGCTCGCAAGGTGTTCCAATACGGGAAGACCAAGTGTTGACCTGGGCGTCTCGAGCAGAGGAAGAACCTGAGCCTCCCGATCTTCTTTCTGTCAAGACAACTCGAATCGGAGGGACCAGGTGTTCCGAAGACTTGGCGCGCGACAGAAGGCCCTTGCCGACCTTTGCGAGTTAGTTCAGCCAGTCTCGTCTCTTTCCTCTTGCTCCATTAGGCTTGTTGTACGAAATGAGCCAGACAGAATCGACAAGGAAGGAACCGATGACGGCCTTCCAAATTCGAGGAAACAATTTGCTTCCGGCTTTTGGAGTGCCAAAAGAGAGTTACTTCCATTGCTTTCTCGGCGGGAGTAGCATGGCAAGATAACAACGTTACTGTCCCAAGCCCTATGCCCCTGGTATTCCTCTGACGCTATCACATATACGTCTTAGTCTGTATCCTTGGAATAGACGACTACGAATAGCACCGCATCCTTGATCAGGCCTTGTCCACTGCTCGATCATCGGCAAAAAAGTCAAGTGCATGGGAAGAAGTGGTGGATCGATTACAAGATGAAGGGAAACTGTCTGGTCTGGGCAGTGCGGCACCCGAGACATTCCATAACGCTCCCTCAAAGACGGTATTCAGAGTGTCGCCTTTTCTCCGGAGACGTACCGACTCGGTGCTCTGGAGACTTTAGCTGGGGCGCCGAGAATATCGTGAGCGAGCTACCAATGTCAACAGCGTTCAGTCGCCAGCAACGTCGCATCGGCTGTGTTTCCGCCCACTTAGACCCCGTCCCGTCCCACGTTCGCTCCGTCCCGTCTCCACAGGCTGCGAAGAATGATGCATTACAAGTCTTTTACGAAGTCCTCTGAACTTGATCTTGAGCAGTGGGATGCACAAATGGGGGTTTGAGGCCAGACGGTATAGGCATTCTGGCCAAAACCGCCTTCTCTGCAGTCTTCCTCTCGATCCCCTCGAATACTCCCAGCCTCGGGAGCTTGCCATGCAGATACGCAGCTGGGGCTGCACGAAATACTCCTTTGCCCTTCCCCGACAAAGGGCCTCCAAAATAACCACCGGCCTTGGCAATATGACAGCTCATCCTTCAGAAAAGTATAACCCCTGCCTGCGCATGTAGAGGATGATCACTTGTTCCATGGTCGACGAAGCCCGCTATTATCGCCTCATCGTTTGATCAAGGTCCACGACTGAGCCAACGTCAGAATTGACATCTCATCGATGTGAACATGTGTTTTCGACCATGTCGTTGATTCGTACCTTACTGGTCGGCTCTGTTTTCGATGAGCCATGCCTGCGCTGATCAACCTGTCTAGTCTACCCCGGTGCGGCGGGAAGGCAAACCAGCACGACAAGGAGTAAAATGCTCGGCGCATACGGGACATGGACAGCTACAAATCGACATGGTTTACGGCGCACTCTCCAACAACCAGCTGCAATCGTTCTTCTGACCGCAGCTGTGCCTGATAGAACCGCCATTCACATTGTACAACACGCTTCCTGCTCTCAACCGCCAATTAGGGCCAGTGAGTGTGGCAAGCTGCAGAAACACGCTCATGGCGCACCTCTCCAGCCAAGCTCGGCTCTAACATCCCCGCGAATTCAAGTTCTGTCAGATCTTCCATGGCATCATGTGAGCGAGACACGTTTGCCATGAGCAGAATATTTTACAACACCTCGCCCCCCCGTCCCCCCCTCCTTCAAGTCTCGATCATCACGGTCGTGCAGTCATCAGCTTGGGTCATCGATTGTATGAGTAAGTAGTACCGACATCCACCATGTAATGACGAGAAGTCTGAGGCACAAAGGAAATCTAACTACACTGGCGGCATGCAAGCATCCATAATGCAGACAAACACACAACTTGCCAAACATGTCGCATCAGCTTTCCTCCGCTTGAGTTTGGACTGCTCCGGCTGCGGACCTCCTCGATCCCGCAGGTCATTCTCTCTATTCGTTTTCTGTCCTTCTCGTCTCTTGTATTCCTGGAATGCATCGTCCAATCATCGAATACGGGCTTTTGGTTCGTCAACAAGTAGACCAACCCCCTCTCCGCTGTTTGAGCCAAATTCGCCCGCTCATCCCGTCACGGATTCCAGCCTGCATTCGCCCAGTAATCGGCCGAGAGAAAGAGGAGCATGGGGAGACATGGAGACAGAGGCAAAGCAGGCCACTCGCTCACTGCCCTGCAGCCCACCTGCCGCCTGCGTTGCGCACCACAGATTTGCCCTTGTCGCGGCTTATGCAGGTGTCGTTTGAGCATTTGAGTGGATGAACCAGCTCGTCAATCGCCCTGCCACGCCTGCTTTTCCCATTACTCGCGAGTTCGCGGAGGTGTACTGTACTGTTATTAACTGTACAGAGGAGGTGGTGGCCACGGAAAGACGCATAATAAAGACTATTTAATTGGCTTCCCCTGGTCGAAGTCTCCATTCCCAGGGAGGCGACGGCGATCTGCCTTGCCAACGGACCACTATCATTGGGTTGGCCTCGCAGAACCGAAGAAGAAGGGAAAAGGTTGAGAAGAAAAAGTCTTCATGCTGTGTAGTATGACAGATCCAGATTCCGGAGCAAAAGCTACGCCGGTCAATAACCCACCACTGAACCTACAGGTGGTGGTCAAGGTCCGACTCGATGGCAGACAACGCAACCTTGGGAAGTAGTATTTTGGAGACGGAATGAACCACCATCTATGCATCTAGCAGACGGCCCGGGAGTGAAACTCGACTGCATAATACCAGCCCAAGTGTGATCTGCGGGTGCGTTGGGATGTTGATGGGCCGATGTTGTTGGAGAGCCTACTCCAAGAACTAAGGCAATGCCGCAATGAAGCAAAGCACATCACGGGAAGCGAAGTCTGTGGGCAAAATGTTCATCAGACGTGCAGTTGCAGCTACGTCGACGACCAGGGCAAAGGCGACTAAAAGTACTCGGGTCCACCTCTCCCTCTACCTCATGCTACGCTGCCAGGAACCATCGGGACAATCCCGCGCCAGTATCGTGTCGTGTCGTTTGACGGCCACAGACACGACGCCAAAGGGGACGGGGTGAACGATGGAGACAGTGGGTGATGGTGGTGCAGAATCTTTTCTTTTCTTCTTCTGCTTCGCTTTCTGGCTCGGCTCCCTGCCTTCAGTTTCTGCGCGCGTGTGTGCGTGAGTGTGTGTGTGCGTGTGTGATTTTCTGGTGCTGCGCCCATGTCTGGGTAAAATTGCAAACTGCGCCAGCCAAACTGCGTCGAGACCAACGGACGCGGGCCATGCAAACCAAGCAAACGAGCTGAGCTGAGCACCCAACATCGTTGCTGCAAGGTGAAGGTCTGAAGACGAAATAGATGAAGGTCCGGTGGTGATTACCACACAAGACCACGGCTCAGGTTCATCTCGCCTGGGTTTCTGCGCCGCGGCCAACACAACAAATTACCACTGGATCGATCGGTCAGACGTCCTTTCGGCCTATTGAATTGCGAATTGAGATGTGATGGCGGTGTCGAGAGAGAGCCGAATAAGTTGATCTTCAGTCTATCGTCTGCGCGTCTAAACTCTTTTTTTCTCTCTTCCTGTTTGGTCAGCTCGATAGCCCCCCCCCTCGTCGTGTCCTTTATGTCGCGGGGGGAAGGCAGATGGTCGTATTCCAGAACTCTTGGACAAATGAGATTTCCGGAAACGAGATTTCGGAACGAAGCCAAAAGGCTGGATGACAGATCTTAGGTTCTGGATCGTCGCGGTAAACACCATCGCGTATTCTACTAGCGTTGATGAGAAGATGGAAATGGGGGACTCTACAGGTCCCCGTTGTTCACTTGTGTCTCTTCGTATTCTCGGGTTCTTCGGTTGCCTTCCACGGGATCTACGAGGTCCGAAGAGTCGATGAATCAACATCCGTATCGAGTCTGCTAGTCTTCTCCCCTTCAAGATGAACGAGAGGGCCTAAGACGTCCCAAAACGCCATGCTCATGATCCCTCACATTCGTCGCTGTGCGACGTGATAACCTGTCCCATGTCTAGCCCCTTTCTCCATCTCCTGCTGCCTCTGCCTTGTATCTCTCCACCTGCGTTCCACGAGGTCTTGCAACCTGTTTGGATTGCCATCCGCAGCGGGAAGCTGCTTCTTGATCGCGTTCGTCTATAGGGTAGCTTTGCCCACAGTCATACCAACCTTGCGGTGACTGTTTGGCCTGCTGCTTGAGGTCTGACGAAGAGCGTTTCCATCTTCTTTTGACTAATGATGTTGATTGAATGTTCTTTGGTATCTTGTCATGGCCTGATTAGCTACTTTGACAACGCCTCTACTCCTTCTCCGTGCTTGCCAAGACTATCATGGCATCGTCTCCCTTCATCGTCTAAGCCACTTCCGTCCCCGTCCTGGCTGTAATGTAGCTGGCCGACCAGCCATGGGACAATGGCCTGTAGTTGGCTTTGCCCACTGTGTCTCTCATCGGCTGTAATCAACCGATACGCGCGTATGATCATGCTCATCATGTCCACATTGATGGCATCACGCCTTTGCCCTTCCGTCCAACACCCCGCGGCTGTCCACGACCGCCGCCTCTGGGGGTCATGCCGCCGCCCATCATCTCCATTGTCTGCTCATCGGTAGGGAACTCGGTTGATCGGAAGCCTTCCCCCTCTTTGAACATGGTGGTGTACAAGGTCGAGACGGATTGCGTCAACTCGTATAGAGCCTTGGTGCGGTCGCTGTCCGCGTCTGATTGAATCTCGAGGGTGCCGGCTTGCTGATCAATCTTGCCCTGAATCTTGCCGTCAACGATGAGGAAGCCCAGTATGTCCTGGACCTCAGGCTCTGAGATCTTCAGTTGCTTCGCGATCCATGACAGCTTCATACGTGTGTACGGTGCGATGAGCTTCAGGACTCCCTTGGTCCTCATGTTGCGCGTCACTTCGTCAATATTCTCGGCGATGAAAGGGTCGGCAAGAATGTCTTGGTTCTTCTGAAGGACATTCTCGTAGGCGTGAACGTCGTCGCGTTGGTATGCGTCTACCAAGTCGGTCATGGCAGTGATTCGGGGATCCTGCTTGTAGGGCTTCGTCTCCTGCGAGTCAAAGGGGTTGATGGTGGACTTAACCAGCATGGTTGTGAGAAGGAGGTACTTGAGCACCTGGATCCGCTGGAGCGAGCCGGCCTCATCGTAGTTGCGGAAGGATTCGAAGAAGTCTGTTTGCGCTTCGGCCCAGTTCTCCTCGCTCATGTGCATCTTGCCACCGCATTCGCGAATAATTCCCATGATTTTGGGGTGAGGGACAGCGGACCTGACCTTGAGGGCGCGCTGGTAAAGTCTCTTCAGCTGCTTGTTGTTCTTGGTCTCGGCGTGCATCTGGATCTCGAGGGCGTATATCTCCATAGAATATGTGCCCTTGCTGGGATCGTCACTGCCATCTTCTTTCTGACAAGCCTTGTGCAGGTCCCGCAGCTTCTTGATGACTGTGTTATAGTCCTTGCGGTCGAGGAGGAGTTTGGCCAGCTTGATATTCGTCTTCAGCCATAGTCTCTCATTGTTCGTGCTCTGGAAGCTCTCGAGTGTGAGCGAATAGAACTTTTCGACGCACGCCACGGCCTTGGGACTGTCTGATCCCTTCTCAATGTAGTCCAGCATGTTATTGATCGACTTCTCGGAGTAGTTTCTCGTCACGGCCGACTTGACGTAGGTCAGCAGCTCGGCATAATGCTCCGTCGCCTGGTTCCGAGATTAGCATCGCCCTTCTGCTGGTGGCAGGTCGTTCTCCAGAAATTGCTTGTACCTTTTCATACTGCCCCAGCTTAAACTCAAGTTTGATGGCTTGTTTCAAACCTTTGAAACCCCATTCGCCCTTTTCCTCCTCTAAGGGTGGTATGCCCAAGAATTCAGCAATTGCATCCTCGGGATCGGTGAGCTTGAGTTGCTTCGCATTGTAGTATTTGTTCTCGATGCCGACGTCTCCGGAATCCTCATCATCGTCTTCCTCGTACTCAAAGTCGTACCTGCGCCTAGTCAGTCTTGGTGGTTCCTGCCACAGAACCCCGGGTTGGGAGGCCAGTCTGGGGAAAGCTCACTGCTCCTCATCAGACTCCTGCATGAAGTCCTCGTCGTCAGACATCTTGACTAGTGTGAGAGCTATCGGGTACCGGGATAGGTGGTCGCAAGGTGTGCGCTTTGGTGAATGAATTGGCAAGGAGCTGTGAGGGAAGGTGTGTTGAAGGATAATGTAAGTACAGTAGATTTGTTCGTCGTTGGAAATCGAACCGGAAGGTAAGGCTGGTTAACGACGACCGTGACAGTCCCAGGTAGGTGCAGCTGTCTGCCCGTGGTGGACAATGGAGGCGGGGGGAGCTTATCGATTGGCGGACCCACCAACAGCCACTGGCTGCGCACTGACCACATGAATGGAGGCGATCTTTGCTCCCATGCTTTTTTGACAACCGCGCGCCAGCCTTTGACTTTCCTTTGCCTACGGTAAGGTAGTTTCAACATCCATCTCAATCAACAACCGACCTCCACAGCGAATCTTTACACGAATCAACTTCCGACTCGACACATCTCCTATCAAGTGTTGAAGAATACCCAGTGTAGTCCACTAAATAGTCGGCAAGATGGGTGGTGATCTCAACTTGAAGAAGAGTTTCCACCCTTCCCTCATCAAGAACCAGGCCAAGGTCTGGGAGGAGGAACGCAAAGCACTCGATGAGCGCAAGAAGACACAACAGCGCATCAACGAGCTCAAGGAGGAGCGCGAGCGCGAAGAACTTCAGAAGAAGCTTGAGGCTGCAGGACACACCAAACGAGTCGACCGCGTCGAGTTTCTTTACAGCGGACCTACCGATGGACAGACCGGCACGACCGAGGAGCGCGAGAGCTACCTCTTGGGCAAGCGCCGCATCGATAACTTGCTCAAGGGAACGGAACACAAGAACTTGGAGAAGCAAGCTGGGCAGGAGAGCTTCATGGCCCTGCAGACGGCCAACACAGCACGCGACACAGCAGCCAAAGTTCGAGAAGATCCTCTGCTCGCCATCAAGCGACAGGAGCAGGCCGCCTACGAAGCCATGATGAACGATCCTATTAGGCGCCGGCAATTACTTGCATCTATGGGTATGGCAGACGATAAGTCCAAGTCGAAAGACAAGGAGGAGAGACACAAGAGGAGGCATCACAGACACCGGAACGACGACAATGATCGGGAAAGGCATCGCAAGAGGCGGCGATCCTACTCAAGATCGAGAAGCCGAAGCCCGCGCCGTCGGCGAGACGACCCCAACGAAGTAGACCGCTCTGAAAGGCGGCATCGACGCAGCGATTCAGAAGACAGACATCACCAGCGCAGACGTGCTTCAAGATCCAGGTCCCCTCGGAGACGCGATTCTGGTGAAAGAGACGATTATGACAGACGCGATCGACGTGATAGGCGTGACGACCGCGAACGGCGGCGCCGAGACTCAGTTTCCGACGAGGATCGCTCCGCCAAACCACGCGAGAGATCACCCCGAAGCTACGATAGGCGCGGCGACCGGGACGGGGATGCGTCAGTTTCAAGGGGCCGTCGGAACAACGAGAACCGTCGACAAGGGTACGACAGACGACCTGCTGCCCGGACCAATGTATCCAGTGGTGGCAAAGAGGTTGAGGACAAGGGCGCCGAGGAGGAAAGGGCGCGCAAGTTGGCGGCGATGCAGGCAGCCGCTTCAGATCTCGACACGGACCGGGAGCGTCGTCTGGCTGCTCTCGAAGAACGGGAAAACGCCGTGCGACAGGCCGATGACCAGGCAAGAGAGCGATCGGGCAAGTTTGGCGACAGGGAGTTTGTGAATGGTCTGCATCGCAAGGCCGGCAACATGAGCCTCGGGGAGAGGATGGGCCGGGGTAGACAGGGTCTGCAGAGAGACGATGACTGAGGGGCGAATGCGAAAGGACCGGCGAGACCTGGCCGAATCACAATCATCCACCACAAAAACGACCGGCTTGCGGGACAGACTAGAAGACGAGGTCGAGAACTCGCGCGCCAAAGTGCGGGCGCCGTGCGAGCCGACAGAACGGAGCTGGGTCGCAGTAGCCAGCGATCGCCTATGCATGGTCGGGTCCGGCGGGAACGAGGTCGGGATGGGACGCTGCCGGAGGACGGAAGGGAGGGACGACGTACTTGAGCGCGTCTGCGGATTCAGCGCACGAATGCGTGGAAGCTTTAGTGCCGCCAACTGCACGTCAATGGATGATTTCTAGAATGCGAAGCATGTTGCAGGCTGCACGTATGGCGGTGGAACGCTGTAGTAATGGATATCCAAGGTACGGTAACGTCGAACGTTGCCGGATAACAAACATATAGCGAAATGGAACACTAATCCAACGATTTGCGATACGGTGGCAGGCAGTGTTAATTACGTGAGGCATTCATAGAAACAGCAGGCGAACACGACACCCGAATATCCGGGGTAACGGCATTCGGATTGGGTGCGGGAGGCGTTGTCGGGCACAACAGGGGGGGGGGGGGGGGGGGGGGTGTTGAGGATTCAAACCATGATGGAGCGGCGAACCGGTGCTTGGCGGAGGCGAGGCGATGCGTCACGATTCTTGGCTGTGCCTCACGGTCTTCGATGCGCAGGTTTGCGTCGCCAGTGAGGCTGACGATGTCGGGTGCCCTTGCCTTACTGATGGGGAAGGTCAGGAAGTGATGAGGGGTAATGAGGGGTGTTGGTGAGGTGCAGAGAGGAGCAGTAGAGGATACCGGAATGCCTTCAGCGGTCAACCGAGGGGTTTCGCAACCCTGAATAATAACGAGAACATTATATCGGGCAGAGGCCAAAAGAGCAGCCCTTCTCGCACGGAGTCATCACGGGCTTGGGCCTCTGCGCCTCTAGAATCTAAGGTGAAAGGTGTGGTGGATTTGCCCATGTCCTCGATCCGAAAAAAGGCGCCGCTCTCGGGGCTTCCAGCGAGTCGAGCTCCGGCGTTTTGCGGCGGGAGTGTCGCTGGGATACGCCTGCTACAAAGGGCGGTGCTTCCTTGGCCGACGATGGAGTAATTCGTTTGAGTAGTGGAGAGTGTTTGTTTTGACAGAGGTGGGTATCAGGCTTACTTCCTTGGTTCGTTCGATTGTGGGCTATGGACATGAGGATGGTGTGGGATGGGTGAGGGGCGCAGCGAGTAGTACAGTCCACGGCGGTTGGAGGTTGAGCGGCGGGATTGATGAGGTGAAACTACAGGATTGCGTATTTTCACTTCAATTTCTGGTCAGTATACCTTACTTATTGAGATGGGGCAAGGGAATACGGCCGTGATGGCTTCAGCATACATCGGAGCTGCATACTCGTATGTGAGTGAGACGGATGTACAAGGTTTAGAGGTCGGGACATTTGACGATGAATCGTGTCTGGCGTTGTCCAAAGGTGCCGCAGCCGGGCGAAAGAGCGGAAAGCTCATAGCGCAATCGAGCTCCGTTGGAGACGTTTCTGGCGTGCTGTAATAAACCTGTACTAGGTAGCTCTCACGATGCTTTCCTATGTGCGAGTACTTAGAAGTTAGTGCCCCTTAGGGACATTGTCTGCCCCGTTCTGCTTTGCAGTCTTACCAAGAACGGCCTTGACGGGAGTCGAGTTGAGGGGCTCCGGGGGTTCTCAAGCGCCACGGCCATGTTGTGACAGGGGAGAGAGAGAGAAAAGCCAAAAGGCTAAGCTGGAAAAGCATTGGATCAATGATGCCGTTTTGGCGAGACCTCATGGCCGGCGTCAGATCAGCTCACACTGAACACGCACTGGCCCTTGCCCCGAGCCTCTTCATGGCGTCCATCGTGGTGGTTCGTGAGAGGTAAATATCATAGCTTTGCTCAACGTCCGGTTACGTTCGGGACGGAGAGCAAATAGTGGCTTCCTCGGAGGGATTTTCTTTTCTTTTCTCGTCCAGCTCAATCTGATTTCCCTGCTGTGACATGTCTGCAGCTCGATAGTGTGTGCAGATGCGTGCAATTGTGTGGCGGGGAAGTCTCCACTCGTTCAAGTTGTTTCTTCCTGGTTCGCATCTACGAATAGTTTAGCGTCTTCGTACACTTTCACACGGTATGTAGGTAGGCAGCTGTAAATATCCGTACGCTACAGACTGGAGTTGCAGTCCAAGTGAATAATCTCCTGGTTGATAATGGCGCGCTGTGTCAAGGTAAGCGTGTCGAGTAACCACGTAAGGTAAGGTAGGTATCCGTATGCGTTTCTGTGCTCAGGGCATTCTTTGGCAGAGGGACCTCCGCAACCCGGTGGAAGCGCTCAGTCAGTGACATTCATGAGGTTCCCCATTCCGGTGCCTGTGGATTCGTCCAGGTTGTTTTCCCCTTCGTCGCTGTACGGAGTGCCTAGTGTACCGTTCGGAGTACGCAATTACGCCGCCTTCCTGCGCTGGTCCCTTTTTCTGCTCGAGCTGACGCTGATGTGTACTCTCAAAGATGATGATGGCGATGATGATAGTAATAAGTTGTCTTCCAATACCTAGGTACCACAGCCAGAGCGAGGTTTCTTAGGTAACAAGCTGGGAAGGCACCTCACTCCACGTCCCTGCTGTTCCTTCCTGTCTCCATTCAGCTGGGTGGCTTCCTTCCTCAGGTCCTCAGTGTCCATTTCCAGCCCAGCGCCAAAGAGCAGTGAGTGTTCCCGTCTCCTTTCCTCCTGGGCTCACCCCGGCAAGAGTGCCTGACCCTGTCCGCTCTTGCTCTTTTCGACTCCATTGAGTGGCCCTTCTGACTTGATCTCAGCCAATTGAGCAGCGCACCTTCTTCCAACCCAATTTCCCGCTCCTGCATCTTTTGCTCACTCCAAATTCACACTTGCACCTTTTACCTCACTTTGGTCTTGTGCCTCCTTCTCCCATTTGTTTCTTTCCGTCTGCCTGCCTCACATTACCACAGTCACAGCCATCCCCGAGCCACTCCGCTTTGCCTGGCACTTTCCTCTCTAGCAAAAGAAGGCACTATTACACTGCGTAAAGTGCACCTCACCTTCCCTGCTCTTTTTGTCCCCCACCGTTCCCTTATTCCTACACCTGGACCGCACCGTACCGTGCCTTCCTTCCTGCGTTACCTTCGATTGACCTCCCTTCCACTGGCAGGTGGTTCCCCAAACTCCATCGGTCTTTCTTTGTCCGTTTCCTTTCACCACCACATCGCGCACCAACCAGCCGTGCCAACCCACCTGCAAACAACAACCCAGAGCCCTCTCTGGCACCTTTCCCTTGCTGATCAACCGACGAACCACGAACCCTCCCCCAGTTCCCTACTGGCCGACAACAACTTTTTTGCTTTCCACGAACAAGCAAGCAAACAATTCGATCTCGTATCGCACCGACTCACCTCGATCATCCCTCCCTATCCTACTTTCTATAACCCGACCGAACCTACCTCCAGTTCGCCCAGCATGCCTTTGTGCGGTGGTAACAAGACCGTCCAGCGCAAGCTGGTCCTCCTGTGAGACCTCCTCAGACCCCTCCCTCTGTGTCGCCTGGCTGCGACTTGAGGACCTTGGCTAATTGCATTTCAAACTGCAGTGGCGATGGCGCGTGCGGCAAGACATCGTTATTGAACGTCTTTACCAGAGGGTGAGTACAATAATATTTCCTTTACCCTCAAGCCTTGTGGCCTGGAATTGGCCGGTCTTCCAATCGCGCATCTCTTGCTGACTTGACCTAGCTACTTCCCGACCGTCTACGAGCCCACCGTCTTCGAGAACTATGTCCACGGTACGATCCCTTGATTCCCAGCGAATGGCGCCGAGTCGCATGATGCCCCTGGCGCGATTATCCCTCTGCCAATTCAAATACTGACCTGGGGCTGCTAGACATCTTCGTCGACAGTGTCCACATCGAGCTCTCCCTCTGGGATACCGCTGGTCAAGAGGAGTTCGACCGCCTCCGCAGCTTGTCTTACGGTATGATACTCTGAATTTGGTTGGATCAAGAGGTCGCTTGCTAATTAGACGCAGACGATACCGACCTCATCATGCTCTGCTACAGTGTCGACAGCAAGGACTCCCTCGAGAACGTCGAGAGCAAGTGGGTTGGAGAGATAGCCGACAACTGCCCTGGCGTCAAGCTGGTTCTCGTCGCCCTCAAGTGCGATCTGCGCGAGGCCGACAACGAGGAGGAGGAGGCCGCCGAGGGCCAGCAGCGAGAGAAGCGTCCCATGATCTCTTACGAGCAGGGCTTGGAGGTCGCTCGTCGCATCAATGCCCTCCGCTACCTCGAGTGTTCCGCCATGCGCAACCGCGGCGTCAATGAGGCCTTCACCGAGGCCGCGCGCGTCGCCCTCAGTGTCAAGAAGGATCGCGAGGAGTCTCAGTGCATCATCATGTGAGAAACCTCCACTTTGGTGGATCCGTTTCTTGCCCTGATCATTCTTCACCTTCTCACGACCACGATCGAACGAGCAGCCCTTGTTCTGGACGGATTCGAATTCCATTTTTTCAGTGTTTGGCACTTGGAAGGCGTCGGCGTTCCCACGGATTGGACCTTTCAACCTCGATTTGCATCTCGACATTCACACTACGTCTTTTTATTGCAGCTCGTCCAGCTCCTTGGGCAGACGCGACCTTTTCCTTTTCAGTCTGGCGGCTACTCTACGGATTCCGTCGCCGACATGAGTTCTTGATACCTTTGGGCACTGACCACTTTCGAGCAAAATGTAAATACCCGTTTCACTTCACAATGCACATACAGAGTTGGAGGGTCAGGTTTCATTCCCTTTGTCGCTTTCGGTCTTCAACGCGTACGCAAACGGACCGCACGGCCGGAGGAACGGCGTGATTGGCAGGTGGCAGGTGGATAGCATGAGGCATTGATTCAGGGTACCCAGAAGTCTCGGATGGAAGCTCAACAACAGCAGTCAGCTGAGCTCTGGTCTTTCTTCAACTAGCCTGTTCTCAAGCAAGCAAGAAAAGTTGTCTCTAGACGATGCTAAATGAACTCTGTCATTGCAACTACTGTCCCCCCCCCCCCCCCCCCCCAAGTGAAATCAGTAAACCCGGTAACCTCTATTTCCTAGCTGTCAATTGACCGGACCCGGAGATGTAGCAAATGTATCTAAAGGTATCCGGAACATGGGAATTACTATCCGAGAACCTAATCGATAGGGCGGCAAGGGATCTGTCGCCGCAGATTCTCGTGTCCGCTCCGGTCAGAGCCAAAGGATGAAAGAAGGAACGAGTGGTGCTGACCGGGTGTCAAGGCTGAGGATTTGTGAGTGGGTGTCCCGGGAACATCCCCGATCCGTGCTTATCCTTCGGAGCTCAGTCGATGCCCCGGTTGCAATCGGACTGGAGAACTGGAGAACGGCGAACAGATATGGAGGGGTCTTGTCAGCTTGTCAGCACTGTCGGCCGCGAGTTGAGGGACCAGGACCCTGTCGTGCTTGTGTGCTCAACTTGCATTGCTTCAATTTCACTAGACGTTGAGGCTTATCTGTCTGAAGCTGTGTACCTTAGCTTTCGAATGAGATCTACTAGGTATCCCATTGACTGCTGGATGGCGTCACTGCGTCTATCTCCAGTCTTTCTCTAATCTCGCCCTATTTCGAGATTATTTATAGGCAGATATAAGGAAGATAGGGTTGGATTCTCAAATTATTCGTTATTCTCCTTATTAAAGTACATACCTATGTATTGACGCTATCCAGCTGTTGATGGGGTAATGAGCGATCCTGAAGACGCTCAACCTTTCATGGTAATACTCTCATTCACAGTACTTACCTTAGATTCAACAAGATACTCGACAATTTTCATTGACCAACTCCATTCGATGATGAGAGTGCAGATAACATTTCATTTCCCAATGGTCGCTCATGTATGTAAAAGAAAATAGTAATACAAAATGTGAAATATTGTGTTTTCGCTCTCTCCCAACTCCGAATTATTCATCGAACGCCATGATCCATATCATGAACTCATAATAACAGAAGAAACGTCGCTTGGGTTGCCTCAAGATTAATGTTCGAGGACTTAGTCTCCGTGACGGCCCAAGGCCTTGCCACGCTTGGAAACCTCGCGAGCGTGGTACTGCTTAATTTTGGCCCTTCTAGCCTCCTCCTTGGCCTCCTCCTCGAGCCTCCGCACATCGGCTCTCGCTGCGGCAACCATCTCCCTCGCAGCCATGAGCGCGCGGTCGGCCTCCTTCTCAGCTGCCTCGGCGCCCATGACGCGCTCGCGCGCCTGCACGATGCTAGGGTCCATCTCTACGCCCCCACCACCAAATTTGTGTAAAAGACCGCCCTTCCGACCGGACGACGCGTCCGTGGAGCGACGGAAGAGGCCGCCTCCGCCGGTATGGTGGCCGTCGGGAGAAGTGTGGTAGGTTGTCGAGGACAGAGAGGAGTGGGAGGTCGCGGAGGTGCGGGATGTGCGGGCTGTCGGCGTGGGAGAGGGGTCACGGCGCGAAGAGCCGAAGAGGCCGTGCTTGCGGGGGGGCTCGGCAACGGGCTGGTGGTGGACTGGCTCCGGGGAGGGGTCTCTGCGGGAGCCGAAGAAGCCGGTGCGGCGGGGCTCTGAGGGTGGTGGGGTCAGCTCCCGAACTGGCTCGGGAGAGGGTTCGCGGCGGCCGCCTCCGAAGAATGGCATTTTGAGTAGGTATGGGGTTTTTTGTGTGACTTAAAAACGGATGATTTGCTAGGATGGTCTGACGAAAGGCTTGTTTATGCCTACAAGGTTGGGAATTGTGGTTGATGGTGTGGGTGCTTCCGTGGATGCAGGCTTGGGATGCTGGATAAGACGGAACGTAAGAGTCTGGGCGGGAGGAACGTGGAGGTTATATCTAACTCTCCCCTCCTACCTCATACCTTTTCCCCTGATTCTTCCCCCTCCCCATTCTCATTCATGACACTATGGTTCTCCTACTGCTGGACCTGTTAAAGCTCACCGCAAGGTACGTCGCCTGGGCGGACGCCCGTGCCGAGACCCTGGCTGCAGACATTGTTGGCAGGCTGGCATGGTTGATGCTGCACAATGATGCCAAGATGGTCATTCGAATCCCCTTCGTCCGTCACCCATTCCTGCTCAGCGAAGGACAGCTAGCTCTGTTAGACGCTTGGAGCCGATTGAGACGCCGTTTGGCGGGCTTGGTGGTTGGGTGCTGTGCGACTCCAAACCTGTTTGCCAGTGATCTGCGGTCCAAGATCACCATCCTCGGTGACGTCAAAGGTTTACATGGGAAGGATGTGTTGCAGGGGTCGAGGTGTGGCTGGTAAGCCAATTAGAGATTGTTGATGACGAGGGGCTAACCTCTTGTGGAAGGACCCCTAGATTCTTTTCGTTCAGGTCACGCAGGGTCTTGTTCAGGAATGTCTCGCCCTTCCGACCTCCGAGACTGTGATTTGTCTGGTAGTGAATGAAAGTGATGCTGAAATCGGCAGGGGAGCATAATCTCGATTATGACATCGCATACCTTTGGTAAGACGGCGCGGTTACTCTACCCTCTAGACGCCAAGGTGGCTGTGCTGCGATGCAAGGGGTCATTCTTGGTGACGAGATGGTGGGAGTACCAGCAATCGGCTAACGGTGTGTGTGACGGTCGTGTGCCAGCTGGTTTGATGAGCTGGCGCTCGTTCACAGACTGAGACTCGATTGTGATACCAACGGTGCAAGACACTATTGATGGAGGCTAGGGATGACCGTTGACGTTGTGGCTTGGCCTGCAGCACTATGATTTGCCAATGGCTGATATCGCGAATCTCAACTCTCGTATCGAGAAGCAAAGCGGTTTAGCTACGAAAGAGTAGGTGGTTATCCCGAGCTGGCATCCAACTAAGGAGTGATCCTGAAAATTGGTAAGAAGACTTGATCGCGGTTCTCGCGAATCTTGAACCTGGGCCAGTGGGTTACGCTCGGGGTGGGCCATTCCTGGACCCAGGCGCGGCGCGGGCGATGCAGGATGCCAGCCAGGTAACTTGTAAGGCACCCTGTGAAGCTTGATTGGGAATGGTTTGTGGAGAGCCTTCGTTTAATCAAGGTCAAGCTGAGAGTGCCTTGCTGTCTGGCTGTCTGCACACGCACTAGAGTCTCATTGAAGACCCTGTATTTGGTGCACCGGAGTGTGCCGAAGTGCCATGGGGAACTTGGTTCAGAATATGGCGGTGGCTTAGTCTGCGTACCCAGGGTTCGATATCGGCAGATTTGAAGCGATAGAAATCGGCCATGTTGTCTTGAGCGAATGTGATATACGCTGAAAAGACTACAGCAAATAAGGCATTCTGTCGAAATTTAGGTATACACGAGAAACTTGCCGCACACAAACCCATTTGTAAGCTGGCAAGCAGTCTCTTTTTCATATTGTTTCAACATCTGATGAGTGTAGCTGCTGACCTCGATGCATCTTTCTAGAAGAGCTGACTGGTATTCTGCGAAGACCCTTATATTTTTATATGGCGCATGGTAACTTGGCTACTTGTTCCATATCTGAACTCGGGACTATCGAACGATGGAAGGATATATTCTGCTTATAGCCTGCGGCTCGTTCGGCATATTCGCTATGATTTGACACCCTTCTCCAGCTTGCTCTCAACCGGCTCATTGCTCGCCCAGCCCATCCAGGCGACGGCAATGATGAATTTCACTCCTCCAGAGATCCAAAGAGCTCCAGGCATGCCAGCCCCACTTCTCTGCAACCAGCCGCCAATGATACCTCCAAGAACAAGCAAAACAACAGCCAAGAACCTCCTGTTCCTCTTGGGGTTCTCCTTCAGGGGTGCAAAGAGCTTGGGGTCGGATAGAAGATCGCAGTAGACACTGGTCAGGACGTTGGTAGGAACCTCGTTGTATCCCAGAATCCTACTCGTGACAATCTGTCCGCCGAACTGGAAGGCCAGGAGCGCGAGGGGAACCATCACAAGAGGGTTCTCAGATGTTTTGAATTCGTGGTTCGAGTCGGAGCCTTGTACCGAAACCTTTCCGAAATCGGCGATAAGACGCGTCTGAGCAAAGGCAGCGGCGAGGAAAACGAGTGCCGACTGGAGAAGGAACGAAAGAGCGAGAGTGCTTCTGCGCTTGGGGTGAATGTGCCTCGACTTGGAGAAGAAGAAGCACCCAAGCCAGAATGCGGCAATGGAGCTGAGGGACTTTAGCCAGAGGAGGGGCTCGCCAGCCGGAAGTTTGGAGGCGCCAAGAGCCATGAAGATGGTATTTCCTTCAAACAGGTCAGTCTCACATGTTGCTTTCCCTTCCTGATAGCTAAAAAAAAAATCTCACCTGTTTGCATACTGACGAAGACACCAGCTGCGTTTACTGCCACACTGTCGCACAAGCCGGATACGAGACAGCAAGCGAGGACTGGGACATCGGTATAACGGATGTTGACATCGTCACGGAGCCAGTCACCGAAGCTGCGCCGCTGAATCTCGTTCCTTGGTTGCTCGTTTCCGGCATCGGTGTCGGATGAGTCTGCGACCTGCAGACCACTTTGCGCGCTCATATTGGCTACTTTGATGGTTCCGCGATCTTTGGGTGAAGGTGGAATTCGAGGTTAGACAGCGAGATGAGTCAGTCAGGAGCCAGGAGTCAGCCCAGTATTTGAACAAACAACAGCTGAAAATTTCATGGGTTCATCCCGCAGACCTTGTCTGGGGTTGGGATTGCGTTATCGCATCTAAGCATGTCGCTGCAGGGCGGTTTGCACCACTATTACGTCTCGGGTAAGCGTCCATTCTTGACAAAATCCACCGCCGCGTAATCGGGAGCGGACTGGGCTGCCGAAAATCACGTTTGTTTGGTGAAGTTCGGGGACGATGTGGGTTTTGGCACGGATAGATTGCCGAAATTGGTGTTGGCATTGTGCATACTAAGAAAGAGCATGTCCTTAAGTCAGTCTTGGGTCATTGATGAGTTAAAGTCTCGCTACAGCTTCTTGACGCGGGTGAGGATGTCGAAGGATAGTTTGATTCAAAAAATGTCTCGTTGTGGCCTGACTTGACGAGCGACATCGGTCTAGCCAAGCCGTCTATCACGCGGGACGCGGTGACCGAAAAAAGGCTGAAAATCTTGTGTTTTAGCGGTTGCTTTGTCATTTTAAGGATGTGGGTCTCTCGGTCGGCCCTGACCCGGACGCTTGGGCCCGCCGTGCGCCGAATACCCGATGAATTGCCTTTGCCTTAGCAGCCTTACTCATCTCACCTTGTTCACCTTATTTCCCACCTTACTCACTCACCTTACTTCATCCTCATGTTCCTTGTCTCACTCATTTTCTACAAACCTTCGACGCTTCCAGGGTCGAAGCTTCGCAAACAACTCAACACAACATGGACGACCGCTATTACAGTGAATTCCAGCCCAAAAGGTTGCAGCAATATACGAACTCACACTGCAATCGCACATTTGCGACATGAAAACTCTTCGCGATCAGAGACCCACAGCAACCGACTATCCTCAGGTTGGCTCTCAAGCCTGTAGATCCCAATCGACGACACCTCGACTCAATCACAGCGCCCACAACGCCTCAAGTCGTCTTCTCATTTGATCTTGCTCGGCGCACCTGGTCTCGTCTGGAGCCAGCTATTTTCTCCTATCTAAGAGAGTTCTATCGCTCTTCCTCAAAAACTACCATAGCCTCGAATCACGGCTACAGCAAATCTTACTGGCTGTTTCTGTCTACGGAGTACTGAGGCCCAGCATTGTTAACGCGCTCTCGCGACCCCGAGTCAGGCCCAGATTCTGGCTCGTCACCTCGTGTCTACGATGGCTATTCTTGTCATTTGATCAACAAGTAAGATGCTAGCAACAACAAAACTCGGTCGTATTTTTGGAGAACGAGGCTCAAAAGCTGGGGAATTCCTGTCACTCACCACCCGAATGCCGGATTGATCACCGAGTACAAAGTATTGATCATCGGAGACGCCTTTCAAATCCGCTATTGCAAGTTGGAACCCCAACTTTCTTTTCAGATGCGGCTTGGAATCAAACAACACCACTGCACTCTCAGACTCTGTACCCGACTGCTTGGCAGATGTTGTTTCATGCTTCCAGCTTGGGCAGGTGCCTCGAGATTTACGCTGCGGCGGTGTGATCGTCGACTCCTGAAGCGGGCCCTCTCTAGTATCACACAATGCGGGTATTCACATGGTCATCCGCACCATCAACTACTAACAGGCCCTCGATGCGCTCAACCGTTTGCTTCAGTATCACGAGTACCCCCGGAAGCGCTGGCGAACGCGATTTATTCGCAATGCTTCGTATTTGATCGCTTTTCAATTGCCCATGACGCAGTTCATCAGATCGCCACAGCCGTTTCCCCCGGCGCAAGGTACCATTTCTCCTCCGGCCGGCCCACCAACAATCTCGGGATAATCTTGAGAGTTTCCCAGTCGGTCGCTTGACCGTTTGGCGAATGTCCAACAATTTCCTTTCTGATAACCTTGCTCTGCCGGTGCCACCACGAACCGGGCCCTAGAATGCTGCTCGCCTCTGGTTCGACCGATAGTTATAACGCTAATCCTGGTTGGCGCTGGTGCGGAAACGCTGCCCGTTGCAGATGCGACTCCAAGAACCCAAAGAGGAGAAAGAGACATTGGCAACCCCTTTAATCAACATGCTGCTTGCCACGCGCCCGGCATCCCCTGGCTTGTCTTGCATCTGTCTCTCCGCCTCGCCCACGTTGAGATGAGGCCGCCTCCTATCATTGCTCTCCGTTTGATTGAGTCCCTAACTCAATTCTCGAGTCTGTGCTTTCGGCTTCTTCCCATGCGTGCCTTTGCCCCCATCAGAATAGTGAACGCCATCACCCCATATCCACACTCATTCCCAGCTCTGAATTCTTGGATTTTGAACCCCACCATCGCCATTCCTTTCGACATTCTACAGAGGTTACTTTCTCTCCCTCTGTTCCAACAGCCCGGTCTGTGTCTGCGACGTTGAGCATGGTGAATTCGCCCGTCTCAGACAACACACACTCCTTATCTCTCTCTATTGTCACTCTTTGATATAAGAAGACTTCCACCGCTGGCGCGCTGTGTTGTGCAGACTTCTGGCAATACTAGACGTGTCGCAAACGTCCCAGGTCGCTCATCCCGACAACTGCTCGTTGTTCCTGAAGTCTCATCGCATCATTTCCAATTCACACTCCCTCACAATGCTGTCTCAATACACTCTTTCAGCACTGGCGGTGCTGGCATCGCTTGCCCAGCCCGCGCTCGCTCAAGTCTCGACGAAATGTAATCCGATGAACACAACCTGTCCTGCCGATCCGGCTTTTGGTATGGACTTCAACTTCAACTTCAACTCTACTCCCTCGACCGATGCTTGGGAAACCACCGTCGGCCCTGTCACGTACACCTCCGACAATGGGGCGGAATTCACTATTAGCAAGCAAGGCGACTCTCCCACGATTCGATCCAAGTTTTACTTCTTTTGGGGTCGTACCGAGATCCATATGAGGGCCGCCAAGGGAAAGGGAATTGTGAGCTCTATGATGTGGCTCAGCGACACCTTGGACGAGGTTGATTGGGAATTCCTTGGAATCAAGAACGACGCTTTGAGCAACTTCTT